GGTAACTACCTACCTGAATTGGGCTAGTCGCCAGTGAGCATCTCATTGATGTTCAAATATTAGTTTGTATGGATTTTGATTGATTACTTACAGGATTTCATCATGAGCTGACATTGGTTAGAGAACCATTGGAAAACTTGCTGAGAGTACTGGACAGCTGTTCCAGTGGCTTAATGGTCTACAAGCTAACTTGCCTTGTAACCAGAAGGTCTGGGTTCGAACCCTGGTGGGTGCGTACTGCTGAAGAGTTTCAATACTCCCAGGTTTTCCAATGGTTCTCTAACCAATGTCAGGTCATGATGAAATCCTGTATTAAACTGTTTTAGCCATACTTACCAAACGTAACCGTAGTCGCTTGTGTCACAATGTGCATTATGTCCACCTAACAAGCTGAATAATCCACTATCAGGATAATTAGAGCTGCAAAAAATAAAAGGCTTACTTAATGTCTCTTTAGGTAGAAATAGTAAGCTCAATGATTTTTTGTTAGTTCAAATAGCAGACAACAGAAATGCAAATCATAAATAGTTAATAGGATATCGATTTAAAGTCAGACACAATTAAACGTTATTAGAAAACTCTCTGGATTAATAGTAATAGTAATAATAATATAAAAGTAACAACTCTATAGTTGATTCTTCTAAAATGTAGACCCTAATTATTCTTGAAAGTAAGAGCAACAACTCCAGGAATTGTAAAAACGAATCAAAAGTATGGAATAATAACTTTCCAGTAAAGAAGTATGTTTTTAAACAGTTAGTTCCCTTTATGAATTTAGTTAGACAAAGCAATAAGAAGACGTAGTTTGTCTGAATCGTGTAGTGTTGTATTTGAGTGCAACACATTTCGAACAATCTGATCCATCACACATGGACTTGTCATAGGAATGTATATATGAAATTAATAAAGAGCTAAGAGGGTAGGAAATAAATTCAGATCAATTTAATTGAATTTTTGATTTTCCCGTCGGTTGACTGAACCGAAGTGTTCGGGCTCAGGTTGGCATGTCAGCTTCTTGTGTAGGTGCTTCGACGATGTCTATGCATTTAATTAGTATTTAACTAGTGGATGGTGACTAGCAGTGGAATCCAGGATAACGCGCATTTCGTCCTACTTCGGACTCATCAGCTGGATGCGCATCCTGGGTTCCACTGCTAGTCATCATCTACTAATTAAATTCCAATTAAATGCCCAGACATCGTCGAAGCATCTGCACAAGAAGCCGACATATCAACCTGAGACCCGGCACTTCGGTCTAATCAATCGACGGGAAAATCATAAATTCAATTAAATGGCCTGTTGGACAAGAGGTGGCTCTCGTGGCCCAAGTGCTCTAGTGGATAACGCTTTGGCGTTTGAAGCTATGGGCACTGGGCTCGAGCCTCGATGCGAACATCATCACTCACTGAGAAATCCATGTGAATCCAGATGACAAGTCTCAAATAGGACGAAATGCGCATTGTCCTGGATTCCATTGCTAATCGTCACCATCCACCAATTAAATTCACATCAAGTTAAAAGGACATATTGAAGGTAAAAATAATAATGAAGATCACTAAACCAAATAAGAGAGATAATAGTGCATCTGCTATGGCATCAAAACAAAATTTACCAAAGAAGGTGGTTTAGTGTAATGAAGAATTGATGCTTTGATCGCATAAAGGTGGTTTAAACTTACTAATTGTCAGCTAGGACTTCCACGAACTTTAGGATATGCCTCAAACACGTTTTATAGATAGATTTAAAAGATATTTTAACATCACCATTAATGGATTCTGGGGATTCTGTTTGTTTCTGGGGCCATCTAGGAATACGTTTTGAAGCTGTCCCTTACTTGTAGAGATCGATGAATCCTCACTATGTATGTGTGTCCACACGTATGGTTAAACTGGTAAATACAGTGAGTCGGAAGTGACATAATTTTTCGCAGATCCAAAGAGCTTCAATAGATGTATTGGCTTTACATTCTCAATTATTATGACATTAGCTGAATAAAATTTTTTTTAACAGCACCATTCAGTCTTTGTCTAATAATCAAACTGCTTTGACCCCCCCCCCATATAAGGTAGCTTGATGTACACATCTTTCTTGTTGGCGAGTTGGAGAGTGGTGTTCTGACTACTTCATATCTCCTGATGAATTTGTCTGGATAATTGTTATCGACCAGAGTCTGTGTCAACTTTCTTTCTTCTTGTATTTACCCATTTGAGTTTACGTGTGGACACACATACATAGGGAGGACTTATCGATCTCCGCAAAAAGCAGGACCACAGGTGAACACAGAGAAGATAATCAACTAAACAGCAGCAACAATCAACATCAGCGGGAGAGGTGTATTTCAGAGGTCAAATTCTCCACTTATCTAGGAAGTACCGTTTCATCTACACTCGATGGCACGGATGATGATGTCAATACCAGAATCGAAAAGACAGGATACACCTTCATCAAGTTTGAAATCTGTTTGGGAATCTTTTGCACTCAGTCAACAGCATAAAGAGCAAGATTTGGATTTTCAACACAAACGTCAAGTCAGCCAGTTCTTCTGTATGGAGCAGAAACGTGACTCAGGTGTTACGAAAACCATTTCCAAAAGATCGCTTTCTCAGGTTCCGTATTAGGAATCAAGTGACCGGCCAGAAAGAATTAGCAACAAGAAATTCTGGCGAAGAACAAACCAACCAAGAACCTATCGTTCAAGAAATATGTAGGACAAAATGGAGATGGATCGTGCATAAACTGAGGAGACCGTCGAACTACATCGCGCTCAATGCAGGCCATCACTCGACTGGAACCTGAATGGGAAAGACAAGTGGCTGCTCCGAGAGTGACATGGCAAAGATCATGCGAGGAGGAGATGAGATATTATGGGCGATTGTGGGCTTAGCTAAAGGGAACAGCAGAAAATAGAAATGTGTAGTTGAAGCTGTATGTTCCCCTGGGAACCCGAGGGAACAGTTATAATAAAAACTGCCTAAGATACTGACTGTCTGAATACTGAAATACTTTGATGAACGCTGACTACCATTGACTATCGTGCTGATCTTTTCACATTTAGCTATGCATAACTCTGTTGCCTGAGGCCGAAGATATTGAAAACAGTTAGACAGTCTGGTAGCCTAGACGTTAAATTCTTGATGTTTGAAATGACGCCTAATAGTTACGGTTTACAGTTTTCAGAGTACAGTTATTATTATTATTTCCTTTAATTCCTAGAAAAACATAGGGCTTCAGCCAAACGTCTCCATTCCGTTCGCTTCTCTGCCAACGTTTTCACCTCTCTTCAAGTCTGCCCACACGCTTTCATCTCTTCTACACATGACCGCCTTAAAGTCACCCTCACACTGATGACCAACTCGCCGGGTCCCTTTTCGGTTCCACTCAAACCGCTTAGATCTAGGATCTAAGTATGTGAACAGAGTCCGATAACATCAGTCTAGGGAAAATTGGTCGCATTCAAATAATAATTTCACAGAATAGAATAAAAGAAAGATAATATTACAAATGCATGAATTTATAGTCTGTACTGAAGGCTGGCCAGGGCACGCTGAAAATTCCATACCTGTACCACAAATACTGTTTGGAATAAAGCTGTTATTATTATTATTATTATATTATTATTAGTAGGGGCTGGACTTGCTTCTTTTAATCACAGAGCACCGGTTGTTTGAAGCGAATTGCGATAGCCTCTGCTGTTTGGAGCATGCAGTGCTTCGATGATTTGGGCAATTTATTAGGCACCTAGTAGATTATAGAGAAGGATTCTTCAATGCTGGCTGGATTTGTGGCCAGTTTGCACCAGGTGGTCCAATACTGAATTGTTAACGGTTTTAACTACGTCTTTACTTAGCCATAGTAGGAGATGTTCCCAAAGGAGCACGAAAAAACAAGTTCCTAGAGCAACGGCCAATATAACTCGATCCACAAGCCAGCCTGAATTGGTAGATACACTTTAAAGTGGCTAGTCTGGGTACTTCATCTTTCAGTCGAAGTAGCACCATCGGTCGTGTAGAGAATAATACGTGTACTTCGCCAGCGTTAATTGTTCTTTGAACTGATTTTCTCGTAATCATCTCACTTGGTACGTCGCCCATAAATTCTAATCGTTGTTAACATATAGTGAGTAGTCCTTTTCCGCTTTCTTTGCATTATGTTTCTCGATAAATTTTCGGGATAGCTATTTTCGCTTAAAGTATCATATATAATGCTTAATTCATCTTCAATTACTTCTTCTGAGCACATAGCTCTAACTCTGTGGCTGAGGGTCTTCACCAAATTTCTTTTGTACCTGGTAGCAACGAAGCTGTGAAAATGTGTATATTGTCCTGTTCAAGTGCTTTTTCCATGCAAATTTCTTTTTATGCTACCATCTGGTTTTCTTGTAAGTAGGACATCCAGGAAGGCAGGTAATTCTGTCTTGGCATTCCTCTTCACATGTGAATTTCATATTTGAATGCACTTAATTGAATTCAGTGATTATTGTACTCCTATCAGAACCATTATCACAAAGAATCAAGGTATCATCCATATATTGGCAATAAAATGAGAGCTTACTGATAAGGTTGTTCATAGATCCGTTTTTTAGTTTACTCAGAGAGAAATCAGGCAGAACGGGACCCATTGGGGAGCCCATCGCCACTCCGTCCACTTGCCTGTAAAGAATGCTGTCAAATTTAAAGTTTACCTCCACGGTACATCCTAATATAAATTGTTTTAGGATTTCAGTAGGGATGACAATGATTATCGACTGGCTATCCACATGTTAACATATGCAGTTAACTGTCTCTATTAGAGGTACATTTGTGAATAACGATGTTATGTCGAGAGTAATCGTGGTTTGTCTTTGATATTAATATCTTTTATTTTGTCCACGAATTCAAATACATCTTCGACGTTATATTTCACTATCTTATTATGCAGATATTTGAGAATATTTACTAACCATACGTTACCTAATTACAATTTCTCTACTGTTCTTATTCTTATCATATTTTACAAAACAGCTCACCTTCCCTTACAATGTTGGATACCGCAAGAATTTTCACGTAGTTGGGAAGAATATGCTGAACACTATTGTTGGGTAACCAATACCTATTTTAGCAATCTTAAATCAAATATTCCACCTGTACATGAACGTACAACTATTGTACGTTATTATCAATGGGCAACATTTGTGTTTATATTACAAGCTGCAGGATTTTTCCTTCCATGCTTAATTTGGAGATTGTTACAGGTAAGTTTTAATTTTATTATTATTATTATTATTACTGTCATTATTCTTGTTATTTCCTTGGCATCCGAGTCAAATATAGGGCTTCAGTAATACCATATAAATTTCACTGTGTTATTTGAGGCCATTTTTTTGACTGGCTGACCGATTCCCCGTAGGTATTCATTTTCTCTTTACAAGATCTCCTCAAAGTCACTCTTGGAACCATGTAAAATTCGTCAATTCACTTTCAGGTCTCATATGAGGGTCTACCTCGCATGTTATATCAGTCAGTGGTCTTCTAATTGTGTGCCGAGTCAATCTCCATTTCCTTTTGTGTATTTACTGGGTGGTAGATTTTTGAGTGATTCCTTGCCTGTGACAGTTCCTTGTTGCTAATCATTTCTGGTCAGCGGTGTGGTCTTCAGTAGGTGGAAAATACAGTTGTTGATAAAACTTCTGCAGTAGTTTGTTGGAAATGCTTTTTCTGATGGTATTGAAAATTTGGATCTTCTTCCATATTTTCTATAGTTTGGTTTGTAAGGGTTTTCCGAGTTGATCATGGATTGATATCAGTTAGAGAACCATTGAAAACAATCCAGGGAGTACTGGAGAGCTGTTTCTTCTTAGCTCTTTGGGAATCATCGGCAGTGCTCACCTACCACTGGAGTTGGAACCAAGGAGCTTCCAGTTTCAAGGTGAGCTCGTATACTATTCGGCCGCTGGGACCCGATTCAATAGCCAGTGAATTCACTAGCGAGCATCAACTCGGGAAAAATATAAATAACCCTTACAAATCAAACTATAGAAAATTAATCTGACGGTCGCTAGTGACTTACTACAGGATGGAGTTTCCTGGAGTTCTGATGAGAAGTCGTGACCAGTGAGGTCCATCCTTATGTCACGTGTGTGGATGGATGTCCCACCAACGACAAAGGTTGGGATCGTACTAAATCACGGATTGTTAGAAGTTAGAATTCATTCACTGGCCACTGAATCGGGTCCCAGCGGCCGAATAGTATACGAGCTTGCCTTGTAACTGAAAGCTCCTGGGTCCGAATCTTGTTCCTTATGGTAGATTAAGACCAACCTCAATGTGTATTTAAGTTTCGATGACACAATCACCCTGACTCAGAGCGGAATTTCACTATAGTTTCACTGAATACTGGTGAAATAGGCTGCAAAAACGAGTTAGGCAGTAGTTTCACTTCTTTAAAATCACTCTGGTTTGGCTGGGAAGTACTCTTCCCTTAGTGTTTTCTAATTAGTCTAATCCACTTAGTGGTTAATTTGTCTGACTGAATTGGTAGTTGAATAGGGTATAAACCTTAAATTGACGTGATATGAAATATCAGATACACCTAGCTGATCGGTGGTAACATACACGTGGCAAGAACAACAGTTTTCGCTGTTCAAGTCAGCCAAGGTAAAAGGTTAGACGCAATCAGGAAGACAAAGTGGTCTAAACACTCTTGAATGGCTGTGGAGTTGTAGGGATTTGGATTGGCCTACAATTTGAAATAACACTGAATGTTTCTACGTACACCTCATGAAACGTCAAATCAAAACTTTCACGGTGCAGACAAAGTGATATATTAAAACAATTAGTCCCTTTGATAAATTTGAATAAGGCATTGTGAAGACAAATTTCGCGAGATGGTATCATTTCGTAGTTTCTTTACAACCACTTTACAACTAACATGGTTAACAATAACACTAAAATAAAGATCATGACAATTACTCAGTTAAATCAAAAGCAAAAGTACATACTAATGACCAATCGTATTTAAATAGGTCAAGTAGTCAGTTCATGGTAGACGAAGATTGAAGTCTATTGATTTTTGTACACACAGTTTAGGCTGTATGTAATTAATCCCCAAAGTGTTCCATCACCTTCAATAACCAACCTTGAATTAGAGTTATGTGATGAAATAATTGTGAAACAGTCAGTAATTCATATTGATCTTGTTACGTGATATTAATAAGTGTTTCGCAATGGATGATGATGGATTTCTATTCAGATTAATAATCGCTTTGGGATTTTCTATATGTTTTAATAACCATTTTGGAACATGTTCTTTTCGACGACATTGGAACATCCTATTGGTTCTACCTATGTGGGTGTCACTGCAAGTGCAGGTGAACTTGTCGATACAGTTTGAAGTAGAGTCCACAGAATTTCGTCCTTTAATCGTAGGTAAATACAGGGATCGAAAATGTTTGGCAAGTGAGAGAAAGAGATGGGGGGGGGGCGTAGAATGTGCGTTTGATGGCTGACCGAAGTCTTTGAGCTAACTTTCAACTGCATAATCCGGTCACCCTTGAATAGTTTGGTACAGAAGCTGTCTTTTCAAGATGTAGTCTATCCTTACTGCAACAAGTGATGAAGTTCTCTGGATAACCATTAGCTAATAAAACTGAATGTACATGTCGAAGCTCATCCACTAATGTGTCACTCGTGCATATTTTTTGGGCCCTTGAGAACAAACATTTCACTCAATAGGGAACGTTTATACTGGTTAGGAACAAAACTGGTAAAATGAAGATATTGTCCACTCCATGTTTGTTTACGAAAAATAGAGCGCTGAATCGTTTCATCATTTCTCCTAGTCATAGTAATATCCAGGAAACCGAGTTTGTTATCGGATTCTAGTTCGGAAGTCACTCGAATATATGGATGAATATGATTAAATAGGGTAATAAAGTTTTCAATAGATTTGCTTTTATTACCAATAATAAGAGTATCATCTACATAACGTTTGTACAGCATAAATTCTCCAAGCCTGCCTTGCATTTGTTTCTCTAATTTCGACATACTATCAGTTGTTATATTCCGTCACAAATGAGCACGGTTGGAGAGATCATTGGATAACAAAGATTACCAGGATAATTATTTCTATTGCACTGTAAACCACGAGATCAACTTTAATATTTTTTTTCACCAGCTAAATGTCAACTACTGAATAGATGTTTATAAAGTTATATTTGTAAAATCTCAGCCGGAGATTGAAATGATTCATTCCAACGTTTCTTGTGTTCGGCAATCTGGTTCGAACTTCTTCAGGGAAATTAATCGAAATTAACATAACAAATTGTATGTTTATATATAAAAGTACATCTCTTATTTTTGAAAATGAATCAAAAAACTGCTATCAATGGGTATACTAAACAAAACAAAACAAATTATATATGTCCAAACCAAGTTCGCTTTTAACGGTCTGAAAAAATTTGGGCATTGGGTATATGATATTCGTTATAATAAAGGTTTTTGTATTTCCCAATGAATGAAAAACAAAACGATATTGTTTTTACTGACGTTTCGCTATTTAATGCTAATAGCTTTCTCAAAGTATTATTAAACCGGAATTTACAAAATCAATCAGCATATATATAACAAAGAGTTAGAGGGTGAGAAAATATAGACTTAGTTCAACTTAAAAGGACATATTGAAAGTCAAAATAACAATGAAGATCGTTCAAACCAAATATCAAAGGTAATAGTATACCTGTTATTATATCAAAATAAAGTTTACTAACTTGATCATCGTTCGTCAGTCTGGGTCGCTTTTTGTTGTCAAGTTGGCGAACTGGTAAAGATAACAAAATCGGATGAAGATTGTTGGATTTTATCAGTGTGTAGAAATATGAAAGTAGTGTGCGTTTACATAGTGAACTTGCTCATCAAATTTATGTTGATTTTGCTACTTCATGGGGGAAGGTGTTGTAGCCAGGTCAGATTCTGTTTTAGTCCATCATTCCTATTCAGGCAATTTGGATTCCACTTGATATGAAGTGCTTCTGATATTAGACGTTCTTTGAGGTTTCTGAAGTTTTTCTGGATTATTTCAATATTGTCAAAATCAATTTTGTGGCCTGATTCTATAGCATGTAGACCTATGGCTGATGATTTTTGAAGTTTTTCTAGTTCAATTGGATTTCTCAGTGGTCGAAGAGATGCTCTACGATGTTCATTTCTTCTGATTTTGATTTCTCGAGATGTTTGTCCGATGTACATCGCATCACATTCGGAGCATTTTATTTTATAGACACAATTAGATAGAGAATCTTTAGGGATTTGGTCTTTTATATGGACAAAGTGTGTCCGATGTTTTGAAGAAAACTCGAATGTCGAGCTGATTGAGTACTCTTATGATATCATCTGACGTCTCTGGTCTTTATGTAATGACGACTGTTGATGTCCATGTTTTCGGAATGCATTTTCGGCCATACTTAATGTCTGTGTTGATTTTGTTGATGAAGTTCCTTGGGTAGTTGTTTTGCTTGAGAGTTTCAGTGATGTTTGATATTTCTACTTCTTTTCCTTGCTCGTCCGTTATCAGAGAGTGTGCTCGTTTAAGATGACTTGAAACAACTGAAATCTTTGCGCTAATGGGGTGTGATGATTTGAAGTCTAAATACTTATTGGAGTGGGTTTTCTTTCTGAATATGGATATACTAAAATGTCCGTTTTCCTTTCTCTTAACTAGGCAGTCTAGAAATGCTAGTTCACCGATGTCTGATTCTGCTTCCGAAGTGAATTGGATTTTGGGAGATACACAGTTTATTTTCTCCAGGAATGAATTGTGTAGATTTCGCTTTAGTACTACAAAAGTATCGTCCACATATCTTAGGCATATTTTAGGAGTGAGTATGCTTGAAAAGATATTATTTTCGAATTTATTCATGTAAAGATCGGCGACTATTGTTATATATATGCTGAGATTTTGTAACTTCCGGTTTAATAATACTTTGAGAAAGCTATTAGCAATAAATAGCGAAACGTCAGTAAAAACAACGATATCGTTTTGTTTTTCATTCATTGGGAAACACAAAAAACCTTTCTTAAAACAAAACAAAATTGTATGAACTATGATCAAAACTTTTTTGACCTCAGACTTTCAAAATTTGTCTACTTTTGTTAAAATATATGTGTATATGCAGTATACGATGGTGTGTCTGTATGTGTGTGTGTGTGTGTGGGTGGGTGGGTGGGTGAACATTCATAAAACATTTGCTATTCTCATATGAGAAGTTCGGACCAGATTGCCGAACGAAACGTAGGAATTAATCATTTCAATTTCGTTGAGATTTTACAAATATAACTTTATAAATGTCTACTTCTCACTCAGCGCTCAATTATTTTGCAACTCTCCGGTCAAACCTTGATCACAGTTCATATGAATATATTGAATCGATGTTTTGAAGCTGTACTCAGAAGTCCTGACCAGTGGTACTTATCATGTCAAGGTTAATTGGACGTTCATGAAAGAGATATTCGTTGAAGACAGGCCCAAATCACAAACTGAAGAATTTAGAATTCACAGGTCACTGAATTCCGACTCAGGTGGTTAAATTATCAACGTGTTTGGTCTCATAAACTGAAGGTCCCGGATTTGATCCCAGGTGGGGTTATGCGCAAGCATAAGTGAAGAGCGTGGTCGAGTGTGTTGACCATTTAACTTATTTGAGGAGTTACATCAGCCAACTCCAACGAGTTTATCGCTGACGAAATCTCAGCACGGATACAGAGGGCATTTGCCAGCTTACGCCATCTGTGACTTAGTCCGGCTGGCTATCGATCAAATGAAGTGTGTACCGCTCATTAGTTCGCTCTGTCCTCTTTACAGATGTTAGTGAGACACAATCATTGAAAGTTAAAGATATGCAAAGGCTGGCTGGCTGGCTGTCTCTGATCATAGATATCTATGTTCTATCTGCCATGTTTGTTGGTATCATACAGCGAGTAGTATTTAGGTTAGACATTACTCTGGTCATCGATCAATAAAGTCCATAACAGTTAGTTTGAGCTACCCAAATAGGGAGGTATAGGCGCTTTGGATCCTCGGGATGATAGGAACCAAAGAAGGCCGAAGACAGTTGGTGATATGGTTCAAAATCGTTCTCAATGGTTGGCACACATGCATTCACTCCTCGTGATTTGTCATATTCAATAAAGCTTTATTATTCTTGCACATTATCATTGTTTTCCCTCAACTTTCTGTTTATTTTCTCTCTTTTGAATACATCTTTACTTTCTTCTCTTGCTTTGCGTGGTACACGGAGTGTGGCAACTTGAAGTGGTGCACATTAGTGCAAAGTTCTACACTGAAACCAGTCAGTCAGTTACCGTTGAAGAGTCCCAAGCAAGGGTGAAAAAGATGTATAATTCACCCCGCTTTCCAATGATCTTTCTCTAACCGATGTCGGTTCCCAGTGAAATCTAACAACCGGCGTGTGAATGACTTATTACGTTTTTTTCTGAATGAAACATAAGGCTTCAATTTAATTGAATTTGAGATTTTTCCGTCGATTGATTGCACAAAAGTGCTCGGTCTCAGGTTGACATGTCGGCTTCTTGTGCAGATGCTTCGACGATGTCTGTGCACTTAATTAGAATTAAACTGGCGGATGGTGACTAGCAGTGGAATCCCGGGTGAAGCGCACTTCGTCCTGTTTGGGACTCGTCATCCGGATATACCTGCATTTCCCGGTAAGTGATGATGTTCCCACCGAGGCTTGAACCCAGTGCCCATAGTTTCAAACGCCAACAACAGGACGAAATGCGCATTCTGGATTCCACTGCTAGGCATCATCCACCAGTTAGATTCTAATTAAATGCACAGACATCATCGAAGCGTCTGCACAAGTAGCCGACATGTCAACCTGAGACCCGGCACTTCGGTTCAATCAATCGACGGGAAAATCTCAAATTCAATTAAATAATTCATATGACCCGTTGCACAAGAGATGGCTCTCGTGGTCCAGGTGGTCTAGTCGATAATGCTTTGGCGTTTGAAACTATGGGCAATAGGTTCGAGCAGCGGTGGGAACATCATCACTCACTGGAGAGTGCAAGTACATCCGGATAAAATCCCAAAACAGGGCGAAATGCGCGTCCTGTATTCCACTGCTAGTCGTCATCCAACAGTTAGAAACATAAGACTTCAAGTTTTGAAGTTTTCCTAGCGGTGCTGCTGTTTTTCTTCATGGTACGAGGTCGTTACCCTTGCTGTCAGCCTCTTCTCCTTTAAAGATTTATTAATAACTGGTAAACTAGTCAAGGCTTAGTGAATGCATCCTCTGGGAATCGAACCCAAAGGACGTTATCGGTTGATTAACACCCTACTATTTAACCACCAAGATTCGCCGAAATTGATTAGTATTTAACAGTAAAAACATATTTCGTCTCAGTATTATTTAACTGTTTATTTTATTATTGCATTACATTACAGAATCATTCAGGATTTCATGTTCAACGAATAATGCGTAGTGCACTCCGTGTTAACTGTACACCAAGTGATTCAACCCAAACTATAACTGATGGTCTTGCTCGATACATTGACAATGTGATCTATCATAGATCATATAAAACTTGGCGTGTACCATCCTCCACAGATAAATCACGCAGTAAACAAAAGATATCACGAATAGATGCTGCTATAAAATCTGTACAAAAGTCTACTGTCTGTGCATCTTCCGAATCGACAACATCCTCACATGAAACTGGAACAGAGACAAAACTTGTTAAATTTGAAAAACGACCCACATCTTCATCATATCAATATAGAACACTACCTAGTGAAACTACCACCTTGCCTAGAAGTCATAAAAAGTCACGTGCACCTCAACCACCGGTAACAACATCAACTACCACGCCTACTACCACTACTACAAATTCATCGAAATTAAACTCTGATCAGATAATTTACACATCGAATCTAGTTTCAAAGCCTAGTGTAAATGTGATACAACCTAAAGGGAAGCCAGCGCCTAGACGGAATCCACGCAGAGGTGGAGCATCAGCATCATCATCATCGACGTCTCTATGCTGTAATAAATGCGGTTTGTGTTTTACTGGTCTTTCAAATTTTGACAAAAGTAGTCAGAAGTCAGTGTTGGAACAACCACTTGTATCCACATCAAAAGTGACGTCAAAAACAACCTCAACAGCCTCAGTAATGACGACGTCGACAAATCAAACAAACACTCCGAGTAAGTTGAATGCTGATAATTATTTTAGCATACTTAACACAGGCTGATTTGATTTTACTGCTTTATGAATTTTCTTAAAGAGAAGGCTTTAACTGACGTGAATCTTTTGATGAACTACTTGTTAGTATTCGCTAAGATGCTGTCTGACTAATTGCTCAATTTCCATTCATCATTCAACCATATTTCAAGATAGCGAGAAACTGAACACTGTTGATTATCTTTATATATTAATATTGTTCCCTTGGGTTCCTAGTGGAACAAAGGGCTTCAACTGCACGTCTCCACTTGCCACTTCTGCTGTACTTTTCACCCGCATCCATGTTAAATCATACTATTTCAACTCCTTCTCACACGATCTCCTCCATGTCACCCTTGCACTGACGTCCCACTCGCCGCTTCCCCTTCTTTCGGCCTGGTTCCACTCGAGCAATTGCTTGACGCACGCGCGATGTCACCCAGCGACCTCCACAGCGAATGTCCATCTCCATCTATCTCCACTTTTTCCTGCATATTTGTTCGGCGGCGATTGGTTCTTGTTTTGTTTGTTTGTTCGCAGTCAGAGTTTCTTGTTGGTTATTCTTTCCGACCCGGCCATCTGATCTTCAGTACAGATCCAGCCAAAAACAGTTAGTTGCTGATAAAGGTCTGCAACAAGCTGTTGGAAATATTCTTCATGACCCACCCGCCAAGCTTCTGATCCGTATAGAAGAACTGACTGAATTGACGTTGTTTGTACTGAAAATCCGATCGAATTTTTGTTGATGCTGGCTGAGTGACGAAGATTTCCAGATTAGATTGGTTTTAGGTTGATGAAGGTATGCGTTTCTCGCCTTCCCGATTCTCACTCGGTTTGACATCCTTGTCCGTTCCCACTGCCTCTAGTTGAGACAATGCTCAATGCTAGATAAGTAAGTGAATGACGTAACCTCTTTCAAATCCCTCCCGTTGGTGGTGACTGACGCTGGATGTTGCTGTTGTTGGTTGGTTGGTTATTTTCATAGCCTCCATCTCACCTATGTTTACATGGAGTCCTGTCTTCACTTTTTCCTTATCGACCAGTGTGTCGTTTTTCACTTGTCAGCCTTCGATTTTGTGTGACATCAAACATAAATCACCCACGCGCGAAATCCAGGCCTTCCAGGTTCTTCATGTCGGTCCAGGGTATTCCTGTCTTCTCATTTCTTACTTTCTGACGCATAATCCAGTCAGTCCACCACAACTAGGAATATCATTCATTGGTGATAATAAGCACCTTTGTCTGACTCCTGTGTTTACTTCAAACGCCTCACTGAGTTTTCCGTTGTAGATCACTTGACATGTGCCGCCGTTGTCGTACAACTGTTGAATAAGGTTGATGATTGGCTGTTTGATATTAGCAGTAGACCTGAGTGGTTTTCACATACACCTTTAGAGTACAGTGATGTTTGTATTATCCCCCGCTTATGACTATGGAACCCTGTTGATTGTCAACCATTTTAGTCTATCATCCGTTGAAGGTCATCTAAACGGAAACCATTTAAGCCCATGTATACATATGGAACTGTTGTCAAACTCGTTCGTCTTTCACTGTTGATCCAAAACAATGAAAACTCTCTACTTCAAAGGTCTGCCCTTTTTTTATTATTTCCCTAACTTGTGTATTTCAGTGGTATTGTTCACAATGATGGCTGTCGTTACGAATAGTGGTTAGGATAGTAGACCTAAAAATCTACTAATCAGGAAGTCCGTTAACAAAACAGACTCGTAAACACTATGGGTAAATAACACTCTACCACAGTGTACAATTTTTAATTCTTATATCAATGAGACATTTGTAAACAACCAAGTTCACGAAAATTTTCCGTCCGAACATTGGTAAAAACAAGACACGTAATTCAGTGGAGAGGCTGCTGTCAACGGTGGATTCATTCTTATCTTAAGCTGTACATTTCTTTTCCACAAAAGGCATGAGCTGTCACAAACATATTTGTTAATACTATTCAGTCTAAAAGAGGAGCTGAATAGGTGTTTAAGAGTTGCACAAAATGATGAATAATTTAATGAAAGTCAACTGTGATTAGAATGCATATAGGCACGAAGAGAAATATGGAATTATATAAGAGTTCTGAAGAGTTGCAAGAGTTATAAGGAGTTAGAAAAAAACAAAAAAATACCAAGCCGGTAATAATCAATACGATTGTTTTGATGTGGTTTTGTTCTCTGAGCTAGCTGGATAGTTAATTTGCGAAGCTTTCATCGCCCTACTGGGTGACATCTTCAGCGCATACTTCAATTTACTGAAGTGAGCTTTTAGGTTTCTCCACGAGTTTACTAATCATTCCTCCTGGTGACCTTGGACGTGATTGGTTGTTTATGTGTTTTCACACCTTCTAGGTTACTTGTGTTGGAACTGATTGTTTCTGTGACTTGAACTTTGACCCATTGTGTCTGAAGTTTCTTTCTTATTGGTTGATAAATTTTGTCTATCTCGATGTGTCTATTGATTGATGATTCACTGGAATGCCAAGCTTCTAAAAATTCTCTAGCATTCTTGTTATTTCCTTTGTCTAATATTTGAACGTTGTCCCAGTCGAATTGATGTCCGTGGTTGTCTGTGTGTAGTGATATGCGGGAGTGGATATCATGTCTTTTGACGGCTAGCTTATGATCATGGATACGAAGACGAAGGGGACGTCCACTTTGGCCAATGTAGTGTTTTTCACAGTTGTTACAGTTTATTTTGTAGATGATGTTGGTTTTGTCTTCTTTTGCTGTTGAGTCTTTTGGTTGACATAGAATTGAGTGCAGCGACTTTGTTGGTTTGTGTACGACGTCAATTCCTAAAGTAACCTAGAAGGTGTGAAAACACATAAACAACCAATCACGTCCAAGGTCACCAGGAGGAATGATTAGTAAACTCGTGGAGAAACCTAAAAGCTCACTTCAGTAAATTGAAGTATGCGCTGAAGATGTCACCCAGTAGGTTGATGAAAGCTTCGCAAACTAACCATCCAGCTCAGAGAACAAAACCATATCAAAATTATCCACCTGAGCTACAAATCTTCTCTATCATATCTAATACGGTTGTTATCATGAGGGTAGAAATGATTGAATAATTTTCTTTTGTATGCATACCTCCAGTTTGTCTGAATGAATGGGTAGAGAGATTCAGCAAGACGAAATAGACGAAATCGTATTGCCTCTGACAGGTTGTTTGTTCTTCATCTTGTGGACTACTTTGAAGGAGGCATTTGTTGAGGTGAAAATGACCAAAGTTAACAAGGTATTTGATTGTCGCACTGCTTGTAGAGCTACTACTACTACGTTTCGGCAACCATGTGGAATAGTCTTCCTGAAACCCTTTGGACAGGATACACGTTAAGCAATCAATGTATCTAACTCCGCAGCAGCAGATCTACTGATGTGCACACAACGAAGTGGTCAGATGTAACATCTTACCGTTTGGTCTTCTGTAGACCACTGGGCAACTAGAGGACACTACACTCATCGTTGCTGCTACAAACAAAATCCTTCCTAAAGAAGCCAAGTTGTATTTGATGGTAATATCTCATATGCAGTGACGTTTCAAACACAACTTATTCTTCATAGTCAATCATTTGTTATCACAGAACCTTGTAACTTTAATTTTTTGGCTCTTGCACTTCCTTCCTATTTGTCATCAAAGTAGTAGAATTTCTCAGATGTCAGAGAGAGAGAGATAATGAACTGATCCTGTTGATTCGATTAATAAGGCTTCATTTGTCAATCTCTTCTCCCAAAGACCATCTTTTCTTATCCTTTAGTCTGGTTGTGTGTAACTTCCTGGCGTAGTATATACCTGAGCCTTTTTTCTAGATTATTTATATAATTAGAGTATCCTTGTCTAAAGTTTGCTCAATTTTTATGCTATGCTAATCTGACTTGCTATCTGTAGCCCACTGCTTTAATTTTTGTATTTTGACGTTGTAATTATTGTCTTTAATGGGTTCCGTTGAATTCTTGAACCAACATTATTTGTTCCTTATCGAGTTCATAGAAATACAGGACATTGGCTAAAGAACTGACATTCTCATTCTGATACCCTTTAATCAATTAATATCTTACTTACCAATATTTAGACGAATAATTCAAATCAAAACGACTGCGGACTGTAAATATAATCATCATAATATTAACTTTTCTCTGAAACAAATGAGGTTAGTTTATCACTTTGTCTGCAACATGAAAGTTTTGATTTGATGTTTCATAGGGTGTACATGGAAGCATTCAATGTTATTCCAAATTGAAATTACCCTTAAGACTCTTAGTTGTGTCTTGGTTACCCAGAAAAGTTGCTGTTTTTTGTCTAAAACTAAGAATAGGCCTTCATAGTTTCATTGCGGGTAAAATTTATTTTGATAAAGTACAGTACAGTAATATTTACTGATGACTACGTTCCAAGCACAATTTATTCTCGCTCATAATCATATCAAGGTACTCACACAACTTTCCAGCTTCCTTTATATATTTCATACAACGATGCTCTCATAAATTTGAACAAAGAAAGAAGAAACATTGACGCAGAATAATCTGGATCCATTTTATTTCGTTAATCAAGCGAAAAATAAAGGGGAGAGTGGAATGAAAAGATAAGTTAGCAAAATTAGAAAACAAAGAATTACTAATAAGTGAGCCACCAGGGTAATTGAAGTCCAACAATGGATTCTTTTTGGACACATTAGTCAGGCTTCAATCGTTTTATTGCTATAGCTTCAGCACACTGAGAAGAGTTGAGGTTTTTTGTCTGTTAATTAATTTGAATGATTCCAGCACATCTACTTGATGTCCTGTGTCAGTCAGGTGTTTGGTGATTGAAGAGCCTAGACAATTTGGTCCCTTTAACCGGAGACTCCTTGGTACATGTTCGCAGAATGTAACGTAGGCCCTTCTCTCTGCTCTTCTAATGTAACTGCTCCCGCTGATACGTGTGAATCGGTATACACAGTTGGAGGTAACATGTGGGAGGGGGTACTTGTCAATCT